ATGTTTGTCCCAGAGCAATCCCCTGTCCCAGAGAAAGGGGATTTGTATCTCGTGAATGGTTAGTTGCAAAGGGTCTATGTGACCCATCATGTGGTAGCTTGGTTCCACTGTTGTCGGAGACTCGACAACTATTTTCAGTGATTTGAAATCATGACAGGCGCATTTATTTGATTATTCATCTATTGCTGGTTTGAACGCGACGTTACGGCGGCCATCTTGGTGGTCACAAACAAAAGAATTTCTTTCTTCTGGGAACTAAAGTCTATTTTCATGTAAATTCTTCGAGAAAAAAGTCTATTGTTTTGACCCTAATATGGCCTCCTTGTCACATGGTTGCAAACCAAGAATTGTTTTGTTAGTCGTTCTGAGAACTTCAAGGTGCCTCACTCATGAAATGGGGAAGTTTCATGGTGTTGCCGACAGGGTGCAATCACCAAACCACGTAATGCAACAGGTTGGAAAGACATGGAACAATAAAAGTACCACAGAACAAAAGCAAACCAACAATGGTTTCCGCAACACAAAGAAACACCCAGAAATGGTGATTTACTTTTATCCAAGAGTGAATTTGAAAGTAATGGAAAGGTTAACACCGACCCAACACTTTCCACCTTTTTATTCCAACGTGAGAAAACAGCCGACATCTCGCGACCTAGCCTGTGTACAGACCCCCTCCCCTCAGTAAAAATTGGAGAAGGGGCGCCAACCCCTTCTCCGCTTTTAACTGAGGGGGAGAGGGGGAGTCTGTACACAGACTATTCGCGACCTCTCTGTTGGTTTTGAAACGTGAAAGGTAGTTATTGTAAATCGATTATCGCCTACATCAATGAGATTTTTATTGATCAGCCCACGGCTACTTTCGCAGCCCTTTTCTGTAATGTCCGCATGGGAAATACGTAATAATTTCCAGATGGTTTTCGAGCACGTTTTGCTGATTATAAATTTAGTGTTTTCAGCATAGTTAGTTCAGTTCTAGTGTAGACTTCATGGTGTTAACTTCTGTTAGCCATTTGGGCTTTCTTTCTATCTACTACTCGTGCTCATCTACTGTCAAGGTCAGTTTGCCTTTTGAACCAAGATAACATTGGTACGTGTGCAAACTAAAGTGAGTATAGATTTCCTTTTATTTACAGTTTTTCAGCTTCGACTTCATCATAGTAATAGTTTTCGCTTAGTTTTGGTAATTTACAATATCGTTGTTGTTATTTTTTCTGTTTATTCGAGCGATCTATTTTTAGTCTTGTCATCACTGATTTACAGTGGTTTCAGTTCTTATATCGCTACTCTTCAACATGAGTATGCTGATTGATTGATACCAGCAGTAATTATCGTCGTATTATTTTCCCATAGTGCCCTATGGGAGGCATTCGCTGCGCTACCAAGGACCTTTCATTTGGTCAAAGGTCAGTAGTGAGCTCGGAAACTTGACAAGCCTCAAAGCATTTAAGAAACATATACGCGGTGTGGACCTTTCGAGCCATATGGATGATAATAGTAACTGCTGTGACCTGTGTAAATGTTGTGTCGTGTACATTTGTACATAGTTTTTAGGTAAGATCATTAATTTAAAAGTCATGTAATAGATTAGTGTGCTAGTACGTAGGAAAGTGTCCCCAATTACCTAACTTTCAAGCTAAATAGATTGACACTAAAATAAAGTCATTATTATTATTATTATTATTATTATTATTATTATTATTATTATTATTATTATTACTATATTATTGTGGTGCTCTGCTAATATTTTACAATTTCTCCTAAATTTTTGTATCCTTTCTGACTAGATACTCACTGGTGAGTTTTGCTATGGCTCTGGTTTATTCAAGATCATTTTTGAAAGCAATATCATCACCAGTCTCTGCAATTCAAACGCGTTGCAGTTCCGACTTCTGGTGTCGCCTGACTGAACTCGGCATTTCGAGAGTGAAACCAACTCGAAGAGGCTGTTGCGGAGGACGAAGAAAATTCAGAATTCTACCACAGCAACAAACCCTGCAGTGCGACTCTTCTAGGGACGATTTAATTTTTTTAGACACTCCACTACAAGAGGAACCCAGTGTTACCAAAGTGTTATCTCAATGCAGCCAAAGCAGGCGGTCCGGACGGTATTCCTAATTGGATACTAAGGGAGTATGCGGAATTTCTCGCCTGTCCTGTCTCAATCATTCTAAATGCCTCTTTCAAGGAACAGCAGCTCCCGAGACCCTGGAAATTGGCAGACGTCACTCCTTTACCCAAAACCAAGCCTGTTAAGGAGATCAAGAAAGATCTGAGGCCTTTATCGTTAACACCGAGTATCTCTAAGGTCGCAGAGGACTTTGTCGCCACAGAGCACGTAAAGCCAGCTGTACTGCGCTCTCTGGACCCAAGCCAGTTTGGTGCGATACCGAAGTCTTCGACAACTTTTGCCCTGTTGGAGATGCTCCACGAGTGTTCTCAAGGGACTGATGGGAACGGTTTGACTATCAGGACACTCCTGTTTGATTACAAGAAAGCATTTGATCTAACTGACCATAGTATCTTAGTAAGGAAATTATGCGCGCTTGACATCGCACCTGGCGTCATTAATTGGATAACAGATTTTCTATCAGCTCGCTCACAGAGAATCGAACTCTCTGAAGGCTGTCTATCCGAATGGGGCACAGTACCTTCGGGCGTTCCGCAAGGAACCAAACTAGGCCCTTCGCTTTTCTTGATCATGATAAATGATCTAACAGTCAGTAATGCTTCTATTTGGAAATATGTAGACGACACCACAACATCAGAGGTAATAAAGAAGTGACAGTATAGCGAGGCTCGAGGTATTGTAAATAAGGTAGTAAATTGGTCAATCAGAAACAGAGTCAAGTGAAACACAGACAAATGCAAGGAGCTCCGCATTAGTTTTACATCAGATTGTGACTTTCCTCCAGTAGTCATAGGAGAGGAGTACATAAAATTAGTTAAAGATGCTAAAGTTTTAGGTGTTACTATCTCTAGTGACTTAACATGGAATATGGAATGCGCACATCACGGAAGTTACTAAGAAGGCAGCTAAGAGGCTCTATTTTCTTGTTCAGCTAATACGTACGTTCTTGTTCAGCTAATACGTGCTCTCCGTCATTGACTACGCTGCGCCAGTTTTCCATCACGCGCTACCAGCCTACATTTCGCAAGAATTAGAACGCGTTCAGAAAAGAGCAATGCGAATCGTATGTCCTGGTATAGAATATCAGCAAGCTTTAGCGCTTATAAGTTTACCAACGGTTGCGGAGCATCACCACAACATTTGCACAGGCACGTTTGAAAGCATAATGAGTGACCCGAACCACAAGTTAAGAAAGTTGTTGCCGCCTCTTTATAAGAGCGACTATAATCTAAGGCACGCGCGCACTTTCACTTTGCCGCATTGCAAGACAAATAGATTTAAGAACAGTTTTTTTATGGCCTCAGGCAGAATTGTAAATAATTTTTAGGTTTCTTATTATACGTTTTTAGTCTTAGCTGTTACAATTATTACTCATTTTTACAATTATTTGTATAAATTATTACCATTATGTAAATACGCAATTCAGCTTATGCTGCAATGTATTTAATAAAGTACCTATCTATCTATCTTATCTATCTATCTATCTATTATTATTATTATTATTATTATTATTATTATTATTATTATTATAGACTTTTAGTGTCTGATTTTCTAGAGTTATCTAGTTATCTCTCGCTATTCTGGAATTATCGATTTCAATCATATATACTATATTTGTACTTTATGTGGTTTTAGTTGAATAAGTTTTCGTTCGATTTTATCGCTTTCAGTTAGAACCGATTTGTCCCTACGGAGATCGACCTTCAGAACTCAGAGACCTATTGTCTCCGTCCATTTTTCTGTATCAAGTTGTGACCTTTGTGCAAGGAACATTGATCTGTGGTTCAATAAATGTGTTCATGTTATACTACCCTCACTTTTATTCGAGTTCATTTTATGTCACGCACCGTGTTAAGTGATTTACTTGGATTTTTGGTTCTGGTACTCTGTCCTTGTAAATTTCACCCTCTACTGATTCACCCGCGAAATGACGTTTGAAGAATGACCGAAGACGACGAGTCACTACTAACGATAAAGTAATGCATCTGATTGGTTCAAGCAAATTTCCCGCGCTGCACGACCAATCAGATCTAGGAAGTGCAACGTCCTCAGTATCGATAGAATTTCTGTACCGCGTATAATAGAGGTGCAGTAACTTGCAAACCTCGCGCCGGGTGTCTCGTGGGTCACTTAAGTTAAACCCTGTTGGGTGGGTTTAGAAACTGAATGGATGTCCAGTCCTTAAAACTCCTAGCATCGGAAGAAACACGGCCAAGGTAAGTAACTGAAACCAGTATTTAACCCAGTGTGTGAGAAATTTACTCCGGTGGAATATGAATTCAAAGGTATATTTCTTCATATATTTTTTTTTTCACGATAAAAAGCTTAACTGAAACACATTCACGATACACAAAAAAAATCTCGTAAAAAAAAGTTTGACAGAGTTACAAACCAAGTCATTTACACTTTCTAAACTGTTTATGTGATGCAAATACATTATAAAGGTCTGCGGTATCGTCACTAGGGAACTTAAGCACCAGACGTTCTTGATTCACGTACGGCATGGCTAACCACACGCAGAACTGGATGAGGGACGCGGTTTGCGTGCCAAATGCAAATCACCAAGCAAGACAACGTGAAACCATCACGAAGGCCGAGAGAATAATTCAGACGAAAATGCGTTTCAAAGATTTGCGTTAAGTTTTGTTTCTTTCTTACGAAGAAAACATGATTTCAGACGAAGAATTTCTACTTTTGTATGACGCATACTCTTCAAAGAACCCAGAATTTGAACCTCAGCGCGTTTTGAAGTCCGTGACCGCAGCTCAAGAATGTCTTGACACGCGCAGTGGCTGTCATGCTGCAAAAATACTTCCGGTTGGCGTCCGTGGTACCAAGAACGTCTGGTGCTTAAGTTCCCTATTATTTTACGCTGAACCGCTAAGCATATCAACATTGTAACTCTCCCACCCTTAAGCTAGAAAAGATCAATCTTAATGCTCTTTACGCATTATTACTTTCACAAGAAAATGAAGTTGGGAGCATTTTACTTCAAACAAAATACTTAATTCTCTATTTTGTTTTTGCAAAACACGTCATGACATATGAAAAAGGTGTAACAAAACATTTAAAGCGTTAACGTCCCAAACTGATCAAACCTAACAAACAAAAAAGGACCAAATTACGTCCAAATTGATATAACCTAAAAATTTTAACACCGACTTCATAACGACAGCTATCAAAATTATCCGAAATTATAAATTATAACTTAGAAAAATTGCCAAAATATTATTACAACAAGTAACAAAGCATGCCAAACACCCAACTGATACAAAGAAATACAGACCAACAAATGTCTGCGAGTAAGTTTCAAGTAACTCTCACTTCCTTGAGACCTTATCGCTAAAATCATTGTCACAGTTTCACATAATTATATTCTAATAATTGTGGTTAAAGGGAACGTTCTAACTCTGATAACGCAATAGATCAGCATCTCTAAACCAAGAGTCTCTCTTACAACAGTCCCGCAATTAATGTATCGTACTTCGATATGCTTCAGCCAAAATCTTATGATATTACAAATGATTGTAACCCAAAAAATTGCTGCAAGACTGTAAATGTTAAGAAACTTATTCCTTACAGAGAAAAGACTAAACACAAAACGTCTTGGAACCTTTTGTAAAAGGAGATTCTTGAGGGTCTTCAACCCCTGACAGCACCGATCAGACTAGCAACGTCGAAAAAACTGGAACTGAATTCTTTAACAAATGGTTAAAACCACAAACATTCTTGCTAGACTGTAAATAAGCCGAAAACTTAGTACAAAACGTCTGTATACAGTTTTCTTTTTTAAAAAACGGCTGAAGTGTCCAAACGTTCTGCCACCCTAAATGCACCAATCGGACCAGAACCTAATACTGAAACTTCTAACCATACAGGCGTCGAGCGCTTCACATAAAATCACTTCCAATTGCTATAAAGGAATTAGCAAATGATTCGTTGGTAACAAATTCACTTTTGAACTTTTCATAAAAATAATAGTGGTTCCCCATCGCTTGAATAAGCTCACCTCTTTTAACAAAACTTAAATAGAACAGTATGTGGTACATACCTACACACTCATCCTCCATCAAGCTTTAAAAAAATAACCTTATAATAACATATTATTTAAAGTTTGGCGTTAACTGAAACAAACAACTATGTATTAATTAAGAACTCCGTATTTAGTGCTATTAATACAAACAGGAGAGTGCCTTTAAGCAACGAGAAAAATGAAGCAGATCCGATCTCATTTAACATCTTTTGATGAGCTTGAATTTACAAGCAAATACCAATAAATCATTATACACAATTAATTCACAGAATGTTGAGTACGTTGTTGACGTTTACGACGTTGGGTCCAAAAACCTCATATGGTCATCATAATGTTCACGAAGCAACGGCTTAGTCTTAAACATCTCAAGGCAAATCCAACAACGGTGTCTTTCTTCATGCACTTTCAGATAACTCCTCGAAGAAAAGAACTTGTTACACTGCTTGCACCTGAATGGCTTCTCACCCGTGTGTATTCTCTCGTGTACTTTCAGATTTCCTGGTTGGCTAAACGTCTTGTTACAATGCTTGCACTTAAATGGCTTCTCACCTGTGTGTATTCTCTCATGTACTTTCAGATTTCCTGCCTTGCTAAACGTCTTGTTACAATGCTTGCACTTAAATGGCTTCTCACCTGTGTGTATTCTCTCATGTACTTTCAGATTTCCTGCCTTGCTAAACGTCTTGTTACATTGCTTGCACTTAAATGGCTTCTCACCAGTGTGTATTTTCTCATGGCTTTTCAGATCTTCCGTATGGTTAAAGGCCTTATTACAATGCTTGTACTTAAATGGCTTCTCACCAGTGTGTATTCTCTCATGTTCTTTTAGATTTCCTCCCTGGCTAAACGTTTTGTTACAATGCTTGCACTTAAATGGCTTCTCACCTGTGTGTATTCTCTCATGTATTTTCAGATTTCCTGCCTGGCTAAACGTCTTGTTACAATGCTTGCAGTTAAACGGCTTCTCACCAGTGTGTATTCTCTCATGTACTTTCAGATTTCCTGCCTTGCTAAACGTCTTGTTACATTGCTTGCACTTAAATGGCTTCTCACCAGTGTGTATTTTCTCATGGCTTTTCAGATCTTCCCTATGGTTAAAGGCCTTGTTACAATACTTGCACTTAAATGGCTTCTCACCAGTGTGTATTCTCTCATGTTCTTTTAGATTTCCTGCCTGGCTAAACGTCTTGTTACATTGCTTGCACTTAAATGGCTTCTCACCAGTGTGTATTCTCTCATGGTTTTTCAGATCTCCCCTACGGTTAAAGGCCTTGTTAAAATGCTTGCCTTTAAATGGCTTCTCACCTGTGTGTATTCTCTCATGTACTTTCAGATTTCCTGTCTGGATAAACGTCTTGTTACAATGCTTCCACTTAAACGGCTTCTCACCAGTGTGTTTCCTTTCATGTACTTTCAGACTTCCTCCCACTTTAAACGCCTTGTGTTTGTACTTTAAAGGCTCCTGACCAGTGTGTTGTCTTTTATGTCCTTCCAGGTTTCCTGCATAGGTAAACTCCTTGTTACAATGCTTGCACTCAGTACTACTCAGCTTTGATGTATTGACCTCGCAATCGCTTCCCTGTAATGACCGAACGGACGAGGTTGCTAAGTGATCTATTATATGGCGTGTTTAGAGTTATTTTTAAAATGAATACAATAAAAGACCGGAATTTTCAACATCCGCGAGTAAGAGGTCATTCCACCTCGTATTCATTAAACGGGAACGAACCTGGCGATACGATTGAAACCACGAGACACAGTTTCGTTAATGAAAAATTTTGGAACTGAGCCCGCGATCAATTAAAAACCACTAAATGGTCAGCGAATAACTTTTCCAAAAACGTCACCTGACCTCAATGAGTTAAACATTTGAGTCTGCAATACAGTCACGTGATACACGTAAGCGGGTAGCCATGTTTTACAGCTGTCAATTGACAATAATATAGTTGTCCACTATCAAGTTTTGTTCAAAAACAGTTTGTATGCACCTTAGACACCTGGCTAGTAATGCGCGGTCATTACAAGAAAATCTTGCGCAGTCATTACAATGCCTTGTTACAATGCTTGCACTTAAATGGCTTCTCACCTGTGTGTTTCCTTTCATGTGCTTTCAGACTTCCTGCCACTCTAAACGCCTTGCGTTTGTACTTTAAAGGCTCCTGACCAGTGTGTTGTCTTTTATGTCCTTCCAGGTTTCCTGCATGGGTAAACTCCTTGTTACAATGCTTGCTCTCAGTACTACTCAGCTTTGATGTATTGACCTCACAATCGCTTCCCTGTAATGACCGAACGGACGAGGTTGCTAAGTTATCTATCATATGGCCTGTTTAGTGTTATTCTTAAAATGAATACAATAAAAAAACCGGAATTTTCAACATCCGCGAGCAAGAGGTCATTCCACCTCGTATTCATCAAACGGAAACGAACCTGGCGATGCGATTGAAACCAAGAGACAGTTTCTTTAATAAAAAATTTTGGAACTGAGCCCGCGATCAATGAAAAACCACTTAATGGTCAGCGAATAACTTTTCAAAAAAACGTCACCTGACCTCAATGAGTCAAACATTTGAGTCTGCAATACAGTCACGTGATACATGTCAGCGGGAAGCCATTTTTTACAGCTGTCAATTTTACAATAATATCGTTGTCCTTTATCAAGTTTTGTTCAAAAACAGTTTGTATACACCCTAGACACCTAGCTAGTAATGCCCGGTCATTACAAGAAAATCTTGCGCAGTCATTACAAC